GCTTCCAGCTCCAAAAATGGTCTTCAAATAGCAAACAAGTTTTAGATCATGTCCAATCCAATAATCCTCAAACCATCATAAATATAGGTTCAGATCAACGTGCAAAGAACCTTGGTGTTTTCTGGTCCTGCTCTTCAGACCACCTCATGTACAGCATATCTGAATCATTTTCCAATTTAAGAGCTATAACCAAACGCTCTATTCTCTCCGACATTGCCCAAATATTCGATCCACTAGGGCTTCTCGGGCCATGCATCATCATTGGCAAAATTCTCCTCCAACAACTATGGTCCTTGAAACTTCATTGGGATGAGTCCTTGCCCAGTAATCTCGACAGTCGTTGGCGGAGATTTAGGGAAGAACTTCCTGTTCTCAACATGCTCAAGGTTCCGAGACATGTCTTATGTCCCACTGCATCTAGAATCGAGCTTCACGGATTCTCGGATGCTTCTGTTGAAGCCTACGGTGCATGCCTTTATATTCGCAGCATCTTTTCTTGCGGCGAGATCACTGTACACTTGCTCACAGCCAAATCCAAGGTTAGTCCTTTAAAATCCTTGACTATTCCAAAGCTTGAGCTGTGCGGGGCTTTCTTACTTACTCAACTTGTTGTAAAGGTAAATCAATCAATGAGTATTTCCTTCGATGATACCTTCCTTTGGTGCGACTCCACGGTATGTCTAGCCTGGATCAAAACAGAAGCTAACAAACTTCAACCCTTCGTTCAAAACAGGGTGGCACACATTCAATCACAAACGCAGGCAGAAAGTTGGCATTACATCAATACTGCTGAAAACCCAGCAGACTTACTTTCTCGTGGCGTATCACCTACTTACCTTCTAAACTATCAACTTTGGTGGAATGGCCCGACTTGGCTATCACACGAACACGACAAGTGGCCCATTGCACAAGCCAAACTTGAAGGTGAGTTGCCAGGATTAAAGAAACAACTCGTGTCATTTCCTGCCACATGTACGCCCGACATTCTCAAAATTTCATCTTATTCTAGCTTTTCAAAACTTCAGCGCGTGACAGCGTATGTACTCAGGTACATCTCAAATTGCAAATTGCCCAAGAAGGATCGATCAATCGGAGGACTTACGGCATCAGAACTTTCAACCGCCTGTACTCACCTTACAATAACAGCACAGAGGCAATCCTTTAGGGATGATTACTTCACTTTGAAACGTGGTAAGCCATTACCTAAATCTTCAAAATTACTTTCTTTGAACCCATTTATAGACGACAAGGGTGTCATTCGTGTTGGGGGAAGAATTCAAAACTCAAATTCTTGCTTCGCATTTAAACACCCGGCCGTTCTTTCTGGCAAGCACCAGTTATCCAAATTGTTATGCGAGTATGAGCACATACGTCTGCTACATGCCGGACCACAGCAGACTCTTTATTCCTTACGGCAAAGGTTTTGGGTCACGAGTGGTAGAAACCTTACCAGACAAACCGTTCGTACTTGTATAAAATGTTTCCGATGCAATCCTTCGGTTACTTTACCTATGATGGGTGTACTTCCCAAAGCACGTGTCACTCCAGCTCCACCGTTTCATACTACCGGAGTAGATTACGCGGGTCCTGTCATGATCAAGGATAAACCTGGTCGAGGTGCGAAACTGACTAAGGCCTACATAGCTTTATTCGTTTGCTTTGCCACAAGGGCTATTCATTTAGAACTTGTTAGTAGCTTGACCACAGAAACCTTCATTGGTGCCTTTCGTCGGTTTACCGCCCGCCGTGGAAAACCACAGGAAATTTGGAGCGACAATGGCTCAAATTTCAGAGGGGCTGAAGCGGAACTGCGCGAACTCGCGTCCTTCCTTGCCCAAAATAAAGCTCACTTACAAGAAAACATAAGCAACACAGGTGTAAATTGGAAATTTATACCAGCCTTTTCTCCTCACATGGGGGGCATCTGGGAAGCAGGGGTAAAATCTGCAAAGAAGCATCTGCGCCGCATCCTCGGCTCATCAAATCTGACCTTTGAGGAATATTATACCGTACTCACTCAAATAGAAGCGGTTTTAAATTCAAGGCCGATTGCTCCTATGTCTTCCTCTCCTGACGATCCTTTGGCCCTAACGCCATCCCATTTCCTTATTGAGCGTCCAGCTACTGCATTGCCCGATCCGGACTTCACCGAAACACCTATGACAAGATTGTCAAGACACCAGTTGCTACAGCAGTTACAACAGCACTTTTGGAGGCGCTGGTCCAACGAATACTTGAGCGAGCTACAGCAACGTATCAAGTGGAGATCACATCAATGCCAACTTCAACTTGGTTCATTAGTAGTTCTCCGAGACGATAACCTACCTCCTCTACATTGGAAACTTGGTAGGGTTTCCACGCTTCACCCTGGCGCAGACGGCAAGGTTCGAGTTGCTACCGTGCGAACATCTTCAGGTGCAGTGAAACGTGCGGTAACAAAGCTTTGTGTGTTGCCAATAGAGCCCGAACCAGTGCAAAAACCGGACTGTAAAGTTAGTGATGTAAAAACAAAAACGCGATCATAACGTGCTATCTTATTCCATTTTGCAATCAGATGTACTATTGTGAAATGTATTCATTCGTATATTGAAAGCTGACTCTTTCAAGGTCGGGGGTATGTTTACGCCTCAAAACTTTTTTCTATGTATACAATATCTATAATTATTTCCGCTATATTCGCATGCGCGGCTGAAAAGAAGCGACGTTGCAATTAAGAAAGACAGACTTCCTTGTACGACCTTCGAGAATAAACACGTACATTTTGAGCGGGTGTTTCCCTTCTTCATTCACCTCTCATCAGCAGCAATATTACAAAAAACAATAATTAGTTTAGTTTTTTTGTGTAATATAATTTTAAGATGCTGTTTGCAAAAGAAAAATTAAGAATTATGCCTCTATTAGTTTAAATGATCGTCAATATATGCCAATAATTGCAAATTTACCAAGTGGGCCAACTGAAGCTGGACGGGGCTCGTAGTTCATTCCACGTTTGCTTGCTGTGATCGCTGTTCGCTGGCGATTAAGCAACACGTACCGCTACCAAAAGAGTTCACAACAAGTGTACAACAGCTCGTGCTAAGTTAACATAGAAAAACCTACGTTTGTCACAAAAAACCTACGAAATGTCAAAAAATTGAAGAAATGTCACTTTTCAAGATACGTAATACTCGTGCCGGTTCTACCACTGCTTAGTCACGTTATCTTTGACCAACATGACGCTTCTACAGAGAGAACAATAGAGGGTGTCCACAAAGTTGCGAGTTCTCTACTACTCGACGTATACAGGGTGTTAGGGAAATAATATTCGTAACTTTAAGAGGTGATTTCTTGCATTATTCTAAGCAAAAGAGTTCATTATAACTTATGCCCGAAAATGAATCGTTTTCGAGGAAGGCGAGTCGTAAATAATTTTTTCAAACATTTGGCAACGCTGCAACACAACCGCAATACGAGCGCACGACGACCGCAACTGATTCATCAAATTATTTACGTTTGTATATTTTTGTTGAAAATAAGCCTTGAATTACTGAATACTTTTACGCAATTTTTTGTGGCTAATATTTTTTATTTAATAACGCTTTCAGTACAGTACATTTACTTAAAAAAAATAATGACAGAACTAACCGGTACGTGGCGATACACACCACCAATTCCTACAGTTATCAGTCACTTATTTGAAACGATGCGATGCACGAAAAAGGAAAAAAAAACAACATACGTAAATCACATAAAGTTACAGTTAAATGTATTAGTAATCACAACACGCGATGATACATGAAATGCAGGTGGAGTACGACGTTGCCAATTGTGTGAGGGATTTTGTTTGTCTGTTTTCTTCGGAAAATTGTATTTAATAAGCAAGACAATTATTTTGTTAGAGGCAGTTAATTAATAAATAAAAGTATTGATACATTTTACGCTATTAGGCATATGAATTTAAATTATTAAGGTGCAAAATTAATTTATTTCATGACTAAAAAGAAATAAGTTCAGCATTTTTTTGCTCCGAAACGGTTGATTTTCCGGCATAGCTTATAATGAACTTTTTTGCTTAGAATAATGCAAGGGATCACCTCTTAAAGTTACGAGTATTATTTTCCTAACACCCTGTATAACTCGAAAAAATAAACGGCTTTTCTTAGTAGCATATGCACCAAAGTGTTGAGACGACCGTGATCTTAGGCTCCTGTATGTCGATCGGATCAAATGTGGAAAGACACGACGCACGTCCCTACTCAACCAAGGTGCCGGCAGCGTAGGTAAACAAAACACTTCTTTACCAATCTGTTCGGAAAAAAAACAAAATGGCACACTCTTACAACCATATCGAACTTGTCGACATGATTTTAATTTATCGTGAGTGTCTTCAAAATGCTACCGGAGCTTCGCGAAAGTATGCGGAACACTTTCCCAGACGTTATCATTCGGGGCCGCATAGATTTGTTTGCGTTGTGCAAAGTGATAGGGATACAAGTCGTTTGCAGGAATATCAAGGAGGGTAGATTGGGAGTCCTAGACAACCCCAAATGGTGCAAACAGGGGAAGGATTATTGAATCTTGTAGAAAAGTCCTTCAACAAGCACTAAGGAAGTGGCTAGGCAAGTGCAAGTCTCCAAGGCTAAAGTGAGCCAAATACTGCGTGAGATTTTCCAGCAAGAGTGCGTTTTTGTGAGTAGTTGTTGCACCAACATGATAAAAATCCTGGGTCGAAGTCCATATTAGTCACAGATGAGTCAACCTTCGCGCGTAACAGGGTGAATGAGTTCTCTCATGTGTGGTTATTGGAGAATCACAAACAAAAAATATTTTCTTCGAATATTTGAGCTAGCATGGTAAATCGAATGCCGTTGGACAGTTTATATTCCGCAATCGGCTGGACAGTTTACAGTACCTAGACTTTCTACGAGTCATTTCGAACAGTACTTATAAGTGACATACGATATGATTAAAAACTACATTTTCTAAACTTACTGTCTTATTGCTTTCTTTCATGCCTTCAGGTACATGGCTTCCAGGCTGTTTACTATTCTGAATCTTATTTATATACCACTGTACATAGATGAAAGAAGTACCACAGATCAAACTCGAATAGATGAAGTTCGAGAAACCATAGCAACAGTTCCGTTAGTCTCATATATAGCATCATTTTTAACATCGATTCTGTTGAAATACAAAAATGGGATTTGTAATGACAAGGTAATTATGAGTTTTTTCTTATTCAAATGTTAGACTTCTCTGAGGAATGCTGATGTTTTAGATGATTTATGCAATTGGAACCACTTTTGGATTATTGTCTTCAATTTTAATAGGAATAGGCGTTCCCACAACTTCAGATACTGAGCTGTACGTTATCGCAGCACTCATAGGTAGGTCTATCACTGCATTTTAGTGATCTCAGTCTAAACATTCAGTCGAATCTCAGTATGCGGTGTTAAATTTAATGATATTATACTTTATTGTCTGTTATAGGTATAAGTGGATCATCCACAATGGTTGCAAGTCTCTGTTTAACAGCAAATTTCGTAAAAACAAATGGTCATGGAGGAGGAATGATCTACAGCCTTGTGACATTCACAGATAAACTTATATCTGGTGCAGTGGTGTTGCTTGTCCAGAACATGTAAGGAGAAACAATCGGAAGCAAAGCTACTGCGTAACATTTTCTTTAACAGTAAATTGAAGAATGTTTGCTTAGTCAGCTCTTTCCGGATGTTCGCACTTTCGTAAGACACATAAACTCATTGCTGCACTACGTGTTTGTCATTTGTTCTAATTTTCTCTAGCACAAGCAAACTTAGCTGTGTTCTACTGATACAGTAAAGTTCAACAATCCTTGACAGTTTCAATGTTCTTAGACTTCGTGTCATTGGAAATTTTTCAAATATATTAGATTGTATCATTAAAATTTCTTTGGCCTTTTTGGAGAATTAACTGTTATTAACTTTCACAGTCTATGAAACAAAACTTCATTAAACCAATCTTATTCTAGACAATGTACACCAAGAACCTTATGTCCTCATTTCTACGAGAATGTGCTCAGTTACGTCTGTGGAATCGTATCTATGATAGGTCTCAGTTCGATGGTTACACTAGAAGTTAAAACAAATCGGCACTGATGGATACTTTAAGTACTATTTATTTAAGGGAAGTATAGGAATATACACACAATTATTTTTACTAGCCCCAAATGTACACTTCGCAGTATTATACAAAAGTAATAAAGTTTTTGAAACTAGTCTTAATTTGTTGGTACATGGTATAAAAAATCTTTTTAAAGTGGAATTGAAAATGTAGAGTGAAAAAGGTGGAATGAAAAAGATGAATTTGAGAGTGGTGCAGGTGGAACAGCAGTCGAGGGGAATTGCAGCATCAGTCTCGTTGTTATCCAAAAACTTCCGGGCAAAGCAAACACCCCGGGCAAAGCGATTTTTTCCTCTTCATCCAAACCATAAGTCGGCTATCGCCAAACGTTACTCATACCCTTCCAACCTTTTTTCATAGTTGGCAATCAGTTGTATCAGAATCCACGTTCTCATTTGACTACTATATAGGCAACAAACTGTGTTCTTCAAACAAAAAGATTAATTTTGCAAAATAGGTGAGCTCATAAGAAGTAATACCAATTCTATACTGTGTATACTGTTGGCCTTTTAAGGTATGTATCCAATCTATCATTAAGGTGGTCGTTATAATCTAAGTAAGATCTATTGCCTGATGATAGTATGGACTTGTATGTATCGATATGATGCAACAGCTCAGATTTCAGTTATAGTTTTGAAAATTCACAACATTTTTTGTCTTGAATTTTGTCAATTTTTTGTCCATACCTCCTCGAAAAGTTCCAATGCTATTTTTGTATTTAGGATCAATTCAACAATATTCACGCATTCATGGTAAATTTAAAAAAAAAGTCGGTTGCACTAGTTGCAACACTGTTTCTGCTGTGACTGCTCCTGTTAAGTCGTGTGATTATGAATATCCAAATTAATATTTTTAATGATAAGCGTGAAAATCTTGACAAACCGTCACAAAATGTTCCATTTAGAGAGAGGTGACGCGCCAGTAGGCGAGCGGTCGGGGCTGCTACCAAACTGCTAGAAAATAAAACGTCCACAAATGTAATAGTCATGCGATCGAAGTCCGAAATCTCCAAAAGCGTAATACGATCCTATTGCCAACTAAATTTGATCACTACGGAGAGCAATTATGTTATGGTTGTAAGTTGTTTTAAACTGTCTCTCCAATGAAAATATCATCAAAATTGTAGGAGTTGTACGAGATTTCGATTGCTTATTTAGCAACCGGACAACAAATTCTGTTTTTTTTTAAGAAAAGTATTGGTTTTACAAGATAGGTGTTGTGCGTTCAATATCATACTATCTGCATGAATGGATATCTTTGGTATCACACGTCTAGTTTGTCAGTCCTAGAAAAGCTAGGATTAAATCAATAGCTTGGGTAGAAAACAGGAAAGACCTCAATGAATTTGTGAAAAATTGCGAATTAACAAAAACAGCACCGCACGGGTATCATGTGAAAAACCTATAAAACGTCAAAAAAACCTATAAGATGTCAACTTTCAGACTAGTTAGTATTTAGAAGGCAACAGTCATTCCACGTTTGCTCACTAGGATCGTTGTGAACGTCCATCTATGGAGAAATCACTTAACTAAACTACACGCATGATTGGTTGCATATGTTTTGTGAGGCTGAGTGATCCGTGTCTGTGGCTTTTATCTCTTAGCAGAAAGTTGGTTGAATAGCAAGATCGCATCTGGATGATTATGTGTATTGGTCTGCATCTGTATCAAATCAGTGATATTTGCTGTGTGAGAAAATAATGACTGAATATGCTGAATATGATTTATATGTTGTGCTTTCTGAAGAGTGGTTATGTTGAAAATTATAAATTACGAAAAACTGAGGAGAATTACGGGAAACCATCACCGCGCCCGCGTTGTGTGTAATTACTGTTAGCATGTACTTCGACAGTGTATATATATGTATAATTATTTCTTATCTCTCTCATTTTTGAAATTCAGCAAATTTGCTGGATATTGCATATTATGTGATTTCCAGAATTGGTAAGAAAAAGTCGCTGCGCAACTAGTTTCTAGCTTTGAATCTGAATTAAGTGTATTTGAGACAAGAAACCAATGTAATTATCATCAACACATACAACTTACAGCTTAGACCCCCAGTAATGCCATCTCAGAAGCAGATCATATCAGAGCCACAGATTTACAACAAGCCTCATAACGTTTAGGCAACACGTACAACAAGGTGCTAAGTCAACGTCTTGGCGAAAAACCAACATAATGTCAAAAAAAAACAGCATATTGTCAAAAAAAAATCGGCATAATGTCACTTTTCAAGATACGTGATACCCGTGCCGGAGTGCCTAGTACCAGTTGTGCCATAAAACATTTCCGAATTTGAGATCGTTCATTGTTGTTCTGTTCAATACATATCATACTTTTGAGGCTCTCTGACGTAATTGTTAATAATCTGATGGCCATGAGCTGCAAATCTCCTTCAAAAAGAACGGTTCTCCTGGCTACTATACAGCCGATGTTGTAATTGTCGATAGATGGCAAACGTCTGAGCGTGGAGGTACCACCCAACAGACCTTTAATTTCGTGCCCGTATGGGTACTAAGTAACATTTGTGTAATAATCACACGAAGCCCAGAATGTTCACTTTGCTCGGGTCTCCCCTACTGCTTCTGCATATATCGTACTTTACATGATTTCCTGCTTTAACTTAATCAAGTGTTGAAAATATGCGGCGTCGCATTTCTGCTTTTTTCTGTATAGCGATGAACAGATATTTCTAATTCTCGTGCAAAAATAAGCAAAATGAACAATTTATTTTTGTGGCGAAGACGGAGTACTTGAGTTCTCATACAGACTGAACTCTTTCTTCTTATTTAGCAGACCTATGCTTTCAGCTTCATTTTCTGATGCTGATTTTTGTGTTGGTGAATGTGTTCTGAAGCCACCAGATTCATCGTTAAATGATTTGCCTAATAATGGATTCCTATACGTTGTGATTGGATTCTTATAAAGAGGGTTAGTCTGTTCCGGCATTTTACTTTCGCTCATGAACTTTTTGTATTCCACTCTTTCTTGGTGGTAGATTCTAATCTTCCATATCAGTATAAATAATATTCCACCTAGAATAAGATTGAGAAATTAATTCAGTCTGAATTCTTAAATACCACTTTGCAAGATACCGAGCATTCAGTTTTGGAAGACTTTGTGTTAATGAATCACCTCAAGCTTACCTATAACCACAGCAGCGACAATAGACACGAAGCTAGTCATCATCTTGAAGCCAGCAGTTTTATAGCAACTGATTCTTGCCTTTAAATGTACAGAGTTAACATCATTACTAGAATAGCCGAAGGTAATTACACAAAAGTTGCTACCAGAGTACGCTTCCGTTCTACAAGCTGCATCATCTGCAAAGGAAATACAAATCCTTATCTATTCATTTTTTCGAATGACTACTTAATGCTTTAACCAATTTATTATCTTCAGTCTAAGTCTAAAGCTAAAACTAAATTTTTCTCATGGCTTGAGTTAAATGTGTACGAGAGAGAAGTGTGTATAGGCACATATGTTAGAAAGAGATAGAAGCCGACTGGACAGCGAAGCTCATCGCCACGCAGCTTAGCAACGCTGACGCGGCAATTTGCCGCATTGCCACTATGTTACACCAGTTCCTTGATTAAGATACGTATTGAAAATATGGGATAGTTTATTCTTTGCGCCCAAATAATGGTTTTATTTTAAGCGTACACATTTTTGAATTGTGAATTGTGTCGAATCTGATTAGGATCAATTCCAGATCTGTCCTAACGGCGCTCCATTTCAGGCCGAAATGAAAGGACAGCATCGCCACGGATTCTGCAACACTGCATCATTGCTTCGTTTGACAACACCGCATCTCTTACATTCCCAGGCAAGGTGTCAACTTCCATGATCATAGTTGAGCGATTTTGGTCACTGCCCATCTAGTGTTCGTAGGGGTGTGTCGTCCTACTTCGTATATGAAGGCAGGGACATTTATATTGCGTAACTGTATCACCATCCCTGGAAATCAAAGATAATTCTCAAATAAATTGAAACACTAAGTTGCGTCAAAATAGAAATAAATAAATTACTCTTATCAAAACGAAAACAAAATATTAAATTAAATGTTCGATCAGACCTCCTTCTTGGGCTTGACATTGACCTTACCTATTGTAGAAGCCTGTGCGAACAATTTCTAGCATGGTAGGGGTCACCGAACGGGATACTGCTATTATTTTCAGCTGCAACTTTTCCAAAGTGATAGTCCTTGCATGGGGGTCTCCACATAACCACACGAGAAGAAATCATTAGCCGCGAAGTCAAGAGATCTCGCTGGCCATTGCATGCTGCCATGTGTAGAGATCAGGCGTCCGGGAAATATTGTTTCCAAAAATTCCTCCCCCCTCACGTTATGACCATCTTGTTCGAACCAAATAGCATGAAGGTTGATGCCCAGGTTTCGTACAATCGGGTTAATTTCGTGTTGAAGCAATTCCAAATAACGCGAGGAATTTAAGGTAGCATTAATGAAGAAAGGTCCAACATGAGGTTCCCTAAAATACTCCCTCAAAAATTGACCTTTTGTGGATACTTCGTCCTTAATGGTAAGCTTAAATGTTTGTTTTCCCTTAATACCTAAGATTTTTGGGTTTATCAGGTCCATAGACAGACAAGCTGTATTCGTCCAAAAACAATATGTTTCGGAGCTATGCTTCTTCAGAATACACCTGACTGTACTTACCGGGATACCCACTTATTCCGATATAGACTACTCGAACAAGGTTGAGGTTTCTCTCTTTGAAGCGTCCCTCAACATAACC